GGATGGTATGTTGTGTAGCGGTGGTGGTTTAGTTAGGATATGGGAGGGGGCTGTGCGGTGGTAGGATATGACTGACAAGCGACAAAACCCAGAGCACGACATACCTGTCATTTGGACAGGAAGGTGTTATCAGATGAAATCACTGTCCCCTACCACCACAAGAATTTTTTATACGTAAAGACTAGAGACTTAGAGACACACCGTTGGCATTGTCCACGCTCCAGAAAACCACTTAAGAAGAAATACTTCACGTGCCGGAACATGGTCAGAATTCCTCGCAGTATTGTCCCTATCCCTTTGACTCCCGCTCCGCCAAAAAGTCGTCGAGCTGCTCGAAGAATTTTTCGAGAGGTCTTATTCGCTGATGGCCATCCCCCAGCACACCTGATCGTTCAGAATTTAGTTTACAGAAGCTTAGAAGGAGCTCACTTGATGTTCAAAGCACGTACAGTGTGGTGTGGATGCGCGGTTGTTGTCTCAGCTGTATCATAGATGTTGGTAGACGACGCTGTGTAAGATAAGACCTGGGGTCTACATGCACAGTACCCGGGACCTCCCGACAGAGCTAGTGTTCTGGTGTAGTAAGAATACCCGACCAACAACCCACCCACCCACTCATCCACACACACACACACACACGCACGCACGCACGCACGCACGCACGCACGCACGCACGCACGCACGCACACACACACACACACACACACACACACACGACACACACACACACACACACACACACACACACACACACACACACACACACACACACACACACACACACATACATACACACAAGCACACACACGCACGCACGCACGTACGTACGTATGCACGCACACACACACACGCACGCGCGCACATGCACACACACGACGCGCACACGCATACATGCACACACACACGCGAACATACACACACACACATAGACGCGCGGCAAACATGAATAGGCTGGTGCAGAACTTGAGATAGCCATACATCAAGACGGACACGTTTAATGTGGTCGAAAATCTAGGGCAACTTCGGTGAAAGATGGCCAGGGTTCCAGGTAAAATGTACACGCCGCAGGGCCTATCAACCATTTACGGGCAATCTTACTGTTGACGAAGATTATATGATCGCTAATGTCTGAATTACAACTGAATATATCGTGAGATATTGCCACCACTCCCACCCCACTTCACCAAAACTGCAGCAGCGGTGTGTAAGACACGTGTTGTCTGCAGGCAGGTCGTCAGAGATAGGTGGTGAACAGGTGAGGTGACACACACCCTGCCAGGGGACATAAAGGTGTCAAAGGTCAGACAAGGGGACCAATTGGAGCTTTTCAAGCGCTTCGGGCTACAGAGTCATCGAGAAGCCGTAATCTGTTATCTTTTACAGACTACCATTTTGAAGGTACTATAGAGCTGAATTGTAAAAAAAGGAGTTCAAACAATTTCGAAAAAAACATAGTGATCAACAGTGTTGAGAAGGTGCAGGAGGCATTGTAGAAATGCATCGCCGAGCACTCGTGTGTCAATGTCCTTCAAAAGGCGCCAAGCCGAACATAATGCGTTGTAATAGAATGTCGTTTTAGGGAGGGGACTATAAGACGCAATTTATGCCATCAAATTCCATTTACCTTATTCAAAGGCAAAGCTGAATGCTGATCCTTAATGATATCAAGCAATACTCCTAACTCCAGTTTTATCCTGGAACTACGCAATGCAACAATTAACCTTGACGATTTAGGAGTCTCTAATTATGCTGGTGCCTCAAAGCTAAACTGTCGAATTCTCGAGTTAAAAACTTACAATACATGTCACCATTCTAAAAAAAATCGAGAATGATAAACAAACAAACAAACAAACAAACAGAAAAGCAGACACCCTATCACGGTTTATGCAATAACAGGATCCGATATGACTTCTGGAGGACCTTGGAGCAGGCGATACCATCTCTTGTTGATGGATGGAAAGTAAAAGATAAAACCCAACGCAAAAAATTCGCGCCCGCGGCGTACAGTTTGCACCGATAACCTAAGAACCACTGTATTGTATAGATATATCCATAGCTTAAAGCGCCTCTGTGAAAACAATGCTTACTGTGATAGGGCTGTATTATGGCCAAGGATCTAATTTCGACCAAGCTCTTCATGAAGTATCATTTGCTTCTTTATTTTCTACAAGTCGCATTTTGATGGATTGGCCAATTAAAGTGGAAGAGGTTTCAGGGTTAACGTATCATTAAGATCATTTCTTGCCTCTATCTTGGAAACTATGATGGGTTTCCTGTCAACAACCCAAACACAATTATCACTACCTTTGTTATCACCTCGATCAGGTCGTGTCTCTCGGGGGGCGGAAGAAACTATCGGTCTTTTTTGTTGTTGTTGATAATGTTCATGTGTTCGTTGATGTGTGGATTGTTTGGTATGTTCGCCTTTACACACCAGTAGGGATACCTACTCGTAGTACTCCAAACAGGCATATTCTTGGGGAACCAGAGCAAAGTTTCTATTTGTTAGAGATCAAAAGTTCAAAACGTAATGATAGGGAGTACGGGGCAAACGTTTGTTGTTGATAATGTTCATGTGTTCGTTGATGTGTGGATTGTTTGGTATGTTCGCCTTTACACACCAGTAGGGATACCTACTCGTAGTACTCCAAACAGGCATATTCTTGGGGAACCAGAGCAAAGTTTCTATTTGTTAGAGATCAAAAGTTCAAAACGTAATGATAGGGAGTACGGGGCAAACGTTACTGTGGGGCAAGATTCAGGATGGTGAAGTAAACAAGGGAGGGCTGTTTGTCAGGGATGCCCCCTCCCCGCCAACTTTCGTGGTTGGCGGCGATCCTTGAATTTTACAGCAATATTAACCAGGATCAACTTATGACTAATCCCTCTAACCTTTGAAATATGTGGGTTTGCCTGCCCTTCCTGTCACAAACTGTGACCTGTGCACCTTTCCTCCCACAGGCTTTTCGATTTTTTGTTACGTCCTGCTTGCTGCCAACATAGACCCACGCATAACTTGTGGGCGACTGACCCTACGACCTAACACACCTACCTCTCATCCTGTCTTCTATGAAACCAATTTAAACATTATGCCATATATTTTTTATCTGACCGGATATAAGATTTCTCTTAGTATACACCACATTCTACTGGTTCACAGAGAGAAAAAAATCACTGACCACAAAGTCCAGTTCTCCGACTTTATTTATACAAAGTTCTGAAAAACAATTATCCCTAATCGTTGCCGACTAGTAGCACGTTTGTACATTTATTCTACAAATATAAAACTCTTCGTTGAGGCGGGAAGATACTATGGACAATGATCAACTACTTGGTACGATGGTAGAGTGAAAACACAATACCACGTTGTCTTGGGTAGCTCATACATGGAAAAATATACAGTATAAAAACACAAATCAAGCGATAAATATGTACAGATATTTGCTACTACTGCTACCAGTAGTGGGCGTGTTCGGCAGATTCGAATAAATCTCATGTAGTGGATAGGAAGAGATAGTTCAATGTGTATACACGAACGAGTAAATTCTACTTTGGCATGTTTTTCTTTTGTAGCTACGGCCCCTCCCCTTCCGAGTATACTGTAAGCTTGGGCCCGTACACCTGGCCTGAGCCACACATAACTACGGTAGCTACGGAGGTGAAAATATTTGGCCTTTCGACAAGAAAAAAATCCTTAACTACTGCTGCTGCGGGTGAGGTAGTTTGTACAAGGAATTAAAAACAACTGGTCTGGTCAATCTTGGTAAGGATTGGACCCAATCTTACGGAGGAAGAAGAGTACCTGATCTCTTAGGTCAACACTATAGTCAGTAGTGCGATCAGTTGTTTGGGTCACTGGCTTGCGCAATGAGGACTCGGGAAGTGTCCGCTGTACGCCAAAATCGTCCACATACACAGTTTTCACAGTTTGTAGAAACTTCATTCAGTCCTCGGCTCCTGTGTCTCTGGCGTCGATGGTTGTCGGCACACGACAATGTGGAACGGTGAAACACCGGTGATTTTCTGGCCAGTGTTTTGGCTGCTTGAGTCCCGGGTCGTCTGACTTCAGCACGGGTCACGCCCCCTCCATGTGCTCCTCCTTGACGTCGACATCGCAGCCCGTGCCGAAGTAGTCGGGGGGAGACGGCAGGCTCCCCATGAAAGCGTCCGTGCCGCTTTGCGAAGCAGTCTCGAGTTTGGACTCGCGCTGGTCCTCCGTACAGGTCGACGACCCAGACACGGTGCCGTCGTCATCGTCCTTAAGTAACTGCTGCAGTGCGCTTATGTAGTTCATAGCCAGTCTTAAGGTAGTGATTTTGGTCATCTTCCCGGCCTGACAGGCATCATGAGACGCCGACGGCGGCAGCTTTGGCACGACGCAGCGCAAGGCCTCGAAGGCGTAGTTTATCTGGTGCATGCGGTCCCGCTCCCGCGAGTTGGCAGACTTCCGTCGGTACTTGCTGAGCGGCGGTGGCTTCTGCCGCGGCTTGGGTTTTCTCGGCTGGTGCCGACGCTTTTCCGACTCGATGATATTGAGAATGGTCTTCGGTCGCAGGTTGTAGTTAATCTGCTCGCCGGAAGAAGATCTTGTTCTCTTGACTTTGACGTCCACGGAACAGTCGCTGGACTCCGAGGACGAGCTGGCGGCGCTGCCGGGGCTTCTCACCCAGCCCTCCTCGGCGCCGGAGTCCGACGCCGCGTCCTCGCTGCTGACTGACATGACTGGTTTCTCCCGTCACTCGGCCGCGAGCTCCCGTGAGCTGTCCTCTGGTGGCACCTGGATCTACCTGTGGCTCAGCCGGACAAAATGTATCATTTCCTTCATAAGGCGTGACTGGGGCTCCCCCAACTGGTAGCCGCCAACCGGTACCCTCTCTGCGTCACCTGTGAGAGGAGAGTGTACCACCGTCGGCGCTGTCACCTTCCAACTGCCTCTCTCGGCCTGACGAGCAGCCGTATTTATAAGCGCGTGGTTATCGGGTTCTACCATCGCAGGTGATCACAGGAGCATGAAGTTGTCTTTCATGTCACATGGGTTAAGCAGGTTTATACCTGCGGCTTATTTGCAAGCGCTGTCCGCCGGAGGGGTCTTCCTGTCAACCGACTTAGCCCCTCCCACTCCCCGCCGCTAGGTGTGTGGAATATTTACCGCCTTGTTTACGCAATCTCCATACGAATCGCTGTCGACCATACCGTTCCTTGCGAAAGAATAAGAAGAGATAATACGGACACTGTCTGCGGAACACGAAAGAGCAAAGAGAGATAAAAACAGGTGTAATAGTGCTAATCGTTAATACGCGTAGTCGGATACACACTTTCAAGAAGCCGTACCTTCAAGGTAATCTGCTGAATATTTATATACATGGCAACAGGTAGCAGAAGTGATCGTACATATCCCCCTTTCTAGAGAAGTTACGTGGAAAGTTTACATCGCCGTGAGGCAAAATCAGCCATAGGTGATAAACCTTCAATCAAGCGCTGTACACGCTTCATTTAACACAAAACCCGCGAGGTACTACGTGCTTTTCCAACCCCACCTGGTGTCACCCAGATACCTTTTCAAACGCGCCTCCTTTCATGTAATAAGCCAACGACCCAGTGTTGGATCTCAAAAAAGTACTAATTTAAAAGCCGTCTGTGACCCCCGCTGAGACACAGAGTTCAATGACTCCTGAGTTTGTGCCCCTTTGAAAATATCGCCAGCACAACATGACATGGAAAATATAATTTCCGTTCAGATGTTTGGAGGGTAAATTGAAACGTTTTCTTGTAGGATTGCGTGCCAGAAAAAAAGCACCTGCCTAAGATGTTACTTCACTCCCAAGGTCGTCTTGGAGATTATCCGAAACCCATAACGTGAGGACAAGACAAAGAACACAGAGACTACGAACATGGACTCAACCCCATCATTTTCAGTCAAAACAGCTCACGGAAATGGTCTGATGAAGCCTACAAGGAAACTGTAATACTTTGATACCCTGTATCCATATAGACGCCTCGTTTAAGAAGAAGCATAAACAACTTTTGTCGTAGTAAAAAGGGGGAGCTTTGCAGTGAAAGCTAACCATATCCGCCGAGAAAGTCACAGACGATACGTTCCACCACGCATGGAGTATGATAATCCCTAAAATGGCGACGCCGTTTCTTTTCCCTTTGCTTCAGTTTTCCGGGTGCAAACTCTCCACAACAAACATCGTTTCGCAAGGGGAAAAGGGAATACTGGCGCTGATAGACTGTTACATTCTTAGCTTTTAGGAGTGTTTGGGAAATATACAAATTATAGAGGGTTCGCCTTGTTGGAGAGAGTGAGTTTAGAGATGTTACCTGTGCCTTTGTAACTGTAACGCGCGGAATGCAAGTGTGTTGTCGGGTCGAACTTGTAGTCAGCGGAATTTGTGGAATGTTGCAGTGGCAAGCAATAAAACATTCACTAACATACTTGGAACAACAAGACACAACGACGAGTCCCTTGAACTATATTTAGCGCTAGGTGTAGTACATCACCAACGTTCAACATTACTGTCTGTACTGATTTAGGCCCGATTTAGACTAGAAACGCTTAAGGGGTTTTGGCCAGGGAAACGTTTCGGAACGGTTAACCGTTCCCGGTCTAAAGAGGAAAAAACGGTTTGTTATGGGTTTTCGCGGACCGTTTCCGAAAACCACCTCCATCGTGGTTTTCGACCGTTTCAGAACCCTTCAGCGGGGGGCCCGAAACGCTTTTTGCTAGGTCTAAAGACAAAGGGTTTCTTGAAACGGTAAACCAGGTCACATGTCATATGCTAATCACATGCTAATAAGCCCGCGCACGTCCATTATCTGGTAGATTCGCGCCATATTTGATTGTGTCCATTTTCGCCATTTTATATCGTGTATTTCTCGAATTTTTGTTATCCTTTACGTCTGGAGGGATGGCAGAAGGCCAGGGGAGGGTCTGGACCCAAGATGAGACCCGCTTCTTGATCATCTTGTGGGCCAATCAAACTATACAATCCCGCTTGGAGACCTCGCGTAATAGGAATAGGGAGGGCATACAGATGCTTGTGGACGGGCTGGCGGCTGAGGGGTATTTATGCACCCCAAAGCAGGTTCGGGCGAAGTTCAAGGCCCTGAAACACAAGTATCGTAAGGCCAATGAGGCAAACCGTAGAAGTGGTTCGGGGAGGTCATCATAGGTCACTGTGGGTCAGAAACATCCTGCGCCACGGGCGGCCCGAAACACTTCCGCCCCTGTGTCTAAAGACGAACCGTTTTCTGTGGCGAAACGTTTCGTACCGTTTCGAAACGGTATACCGTTTCTAGTCTAAATCGGGCCTAAGTCACCTGCTATTTTTGTGGTGCTGACTTGGACGCCAGGGGAATTTAATACCCAATTGATAGCTGTAATGATGATTTGGGGTGTTTTCAAGGAAACAAAAAAATCAAAATATGTGGCAACTTATAAGGAGAATATGACATATTTCCTAACTGCCAGTGATAGATTCATTGTCAGCAAGTGTTTCTTCCCCTTAAAACCTGAGAATCCTTGTCAGTAGATTTATGCTAGAAACTTTAGCAAACTTCTAAAGAATTCTGGAAAAAATGGTGAGGTAAATAGATAGCAACATGAGGCACTGTGCACTGTGACTGGGTTTAACCGTGACATTCCCTAAATTGAAGCTAACTGCTGCGTGAATAGCATGTCGTCCTCACTGCTGCTGCGCAGGTGCAAGCAGGCGTTACAAACGTTTTGGCGCGAATCGAATCCTGAGTTTCTCACAAAATTTTCCCGCCATTTTGGTCACGTTCATATCTGTACATGTACACATGAGTTTGATACATACACGCTTTCTTAGACAAAAGCCATTAAATAATGCACTGTTCGATATCACAAGGACGTTCAACGTTGGGTATATTTCAGTTCCTTGATTATATATAAAGTTATATATCAATAGAGTTAATTGACAGCCACATTTTCCTTATTTGCAAGCAGATGCTGTTCAAGAGAAACGCAAGGTATTTTGGCTGCACAATCATCGAGTTAGAAATAGACAACAACGGGGCAGCAATAAAATGTTGATGTTCCATCCCAATATGGAGATTACCATGATTCGTTCTCTCACACCGTACCTGCTCCCAGTGGTTTTCCGCTCCAAAACGTACGTTTGACAAGAAACCGTCTTGTCATTTTTCTTCATTACTCACAGCAAAATGCATCTATGTCGTGCTTACACATGCAACCTTTTGTAAAACATAAGTAGGTCACCTCAAATTTATGGCACTATAATTTGGGCCCCTCCCAGTTAGACGGCATTTTAATATGGCGGTTCATACAACCCAGTGTTGCACACGGATAAAGAAACCTTTGAGACAAAATGTAGAGTAGAATTTATGTTCGTAATCTAAAACAATAAACATGTTTCGGTGGGCTTGAGGGAAATATTACGACTTGACATTAAACAGCATGCGGGATCAAGGCATGATGCTGAAACAAGGTTGAGGTGATATAACAAGTGTAGTCATTGTTTTGTTTCATATACATGGATTTGAAGTAAACTGCGGTCGTACAAAGCAGCTGCAGATTCTATAACGTTATGTCAGAAAGTTTTCGATAGGTTACATTTCGGCACACCAGTGCTTGGATAATCCTAAATTTTTTTTTTGTTTTCCAATTTCCTTGATTTGGAGTGGAATAGACATCTGGTGGCCTTCTGCCTCAAAATTTGAGCAATAAGTCTAAATTTTATAGCCAGCCGGGGTGTCTATCGACGACCTTCGGCCGAATTTATTGATCGCCAGAAGCTCGCAACAGACTTGTCTGGCGAGCTACGGGTATTTTCCTGCTGTGCAATTTTCCTTTACAGTAAATTTTTTCAGATACACAAAGAGCAATTTTGTAATGGAGGCTATGTCAACTTCAGTTGAACCAGATTATAAATACCATAAATCTATCAGCACAAAAAAATCTAAAAAATACCCCGGTCTGATTTACGCTATGATAATAACAGCTTAGCCGCCATGTCCCTCAGTGTCTGAAGGATCAGGTATCGCGATAATTAGTGGCTTTAATTTGCCTGGACAGGTGGCTGTGATTAAAAAACACGATAAACAACAGATTTTTGGGGTCATCTTTTTGTGGGGACAACATAATTACTGGTTTGACTGGGAGGTCCAGAACTCATACCTCAGTCAAAAATAAGGAAACAAAAGGGTTTTCAAAATGTCGGATGTTGCGTGAGAGTAATAAATATAAAACATCTAACTCTGAACCTAAAATTGTTATATATTAATAGAATGTGTGGTCAGGATGATATCAGTATCTTTATCTGAAACTAGTGTAGATGTAAATCTATCGTTTTAATACAACAAAAATTGGTTGATGAGGAGTGACGAATGGGGATGGACGTTACCTGTAGTAGTAAAGTCCTTCGCGACTCATCATTGATCTCAATGTAGGAACACGGCATCTTTATGTCAAAGTGTTTATCTACATAGCCAAATATATGAGTGTCATTGACTACACAGAAAAAAGACCTGATAATTTGACCAACAGTGTTTCCAGAGCTACAAAATATTCATTTATTATTGGCGTTTTTGTAGCAATATGAATTAGCCAGGGACCCAGTGCATCGATTATTTGGATCATTAAGTCAACATCCTAAATGTGAATTAAACTATTTCCATTATGTATTCTTTAATGTTACAAGCAAACCCGGCATGTTAAACTTTCGGACCAGCCGAGTACTGCCTGTTTGTAGTCCCCAGAAGTTGAGACATTACATTTTTCTTTGTATGGCCGCAGGTATCAACCTGGTATGGCGTGAGTGAACGTTCTAAGACTGTTCTCACGGGTGGGCCTATGTGTGCGTGTGTCTGCGTCTCCGCTCTTATCTCTGGGATGTTTGTTTCACCTGCGTTTGAACTCAACCCCGTCTCTGGGGGATTAATCATTAGATATGACTCACAGTCCCATACGTTGCAGGCTGATACGTTGGTTGGGTGATCTCACAATGAGGTCGAT